AATCCGATCAGTATATAAGGCCACAAGGTTCAACAGAATCCAAGGCCTATTAGCATGGTCTTCAGGTGTAAGCTCCACAGTCATGTGTTGGTATTGCAATGCTGCCTCAAGATCTTGGAGCTTGCCTAGTCTCCTGTACCGAAAAGTGTGTGAAACTGCAAGGTTGTTCAGATGTTCAAATCTGTCAGGATGGTCATCTGGTATGTGACCCAGCTCTGCCTGCAAGTGATTGTGCAAAGCCACCTCAAGATCATCTGGATCACCCAGCCTCTCATGTCGATCCCAATAGGATTTTGCAAGGCTTTCCAGACATTGAATCCTTTCAGGATGCTCTTCATCCATAAGGTCCAAAGCAGCCTGTTTGTGTCCCAATGCAACCTTGAGATTCTGAATATCCCCTGATTCATCGTATTGTTGTCCAAACAGCTCCCCTAAATCCAAATGATATCCAGGAAGATCTGGGTGTCCCGCAGGTGTCCGCTGTATAAGTTGTTTCATTTCCTGTATTGCTGGATCCTAATAGAATCATTAGCTTCCAAAAGCCCCCCCTGTTGTCGTTTCCCTGCACTCACATACTTTCCATGGGTCTGTATCTCATTGGCAGAGTCACCGGCTTCAGGATTGGAACTCTCTCCATGTTCAGAACTATCACCGACAGGGCTCTGACACTCATGAGTTCAACTGACATTTTCCACACAGGCGCATTTGAAATGCTTACAGACTGGACAGACATGCTCTAGTTTGAAGGTCAAGGCCGTTGCAATGAGGGGTCAAATGGAAGCAGCCAAGGGCCAAGGCAGTACAGCCATTATTCTTATATCTGCTTGGGAGCACGCCTGCGCAAAGCTGTGCCCTAGAAACCGTATGCCATCTATCCTTTTTGGGTATAACTCCATTTGTCCTGCCTTGAGCTTGTCTCAAAGATACTCATATACGGGGCTCAATCATTCCTGCAAACAAATGAAGATTGCACCCGCGGAATCTGTCTGGTGCACCATACTGATGCCGAGTGCAATGGCAAGCTCCGCATTTTGGTACTGCGCGACGGTACGAGTCCACATGGTGGCAATGGGGATCGTCGCCGTACGGGCCAGTTGTACGGCTACTCGTAGTTATGGTTGGTCGCAGCTAAGTGGAATTTGAAACTTCAGGCTTTTTGTTTTGGGTTTAAAGTTTGCTTAACAGCGCGCCGAGGCGGAATCAAAGATAGAGAATTCGCGACACAGGACGGGTACAATGATCACTGCTGTAGGTGAGTATATTTTGGGTCGATTGATTTCTCCTATACATTGGAGTCCAACCACGAATAGTACAATGAAAGAAGGAGAATCAACGCACTCCGATGCTAATCAATCCATTCTCGCGATGCACCGCACCATGAGGTACCGAACGCCACAAGCGCCCGTGCGCGCGGTATGACCTGTTGCCGCAACGGCAACGGCCATCCATTCGACAACCGTCTTTTGTATTTCTAAATCTCTGACAGGACGGCACGGTCGACGGCACGGCCGTTGACGGTTCCATGGGAGTCCGGATGGCGACGCCGATAGCGTTGTTGGCGTTGGCGGGGATGTCGATGTGGCCTTGCGAGCTGTTGCGCGGGCGGCCGCGGCCAAGGAAGGAGCCGAGAATCGTCGTCGTCGTCGAGCGCTGTGGGTGCAGCTGCGCGGGCGGGTCAAAGTCCATATGTCAGAAAAACGTCTATATGCTTATAACGGAGCACCAGCGCCGGTAGGCAGTCATAAGCACCATCAGAGATTTGCTTGCTTATAACCGAGGCTGTAAGGAGCATAAGCGCTCATCAGCCACTCAGAGTGCATATCAGCGGTCATAAGCATGTCGCGTATATTGTCGCCAAAAAAAAAAAAAAATGCATTAAAAAACACGAGCTACTCGCCGCTGTCATCGTCGCCGTCCCCGTAGCCGCCGTCATTGTCCCCGTTGCCGTCTTCGCTGTCGGAGGCATCGGACATCTCCAAAAGGAGGTCGGTCGCTGTCTGCATTTGCTCCCGCTGCTTCTCATGCTTCGATTGGACCCCACCACCGAATCGAGAACCGTTTTTCGACGGGAATAGGAGCGAGTCCCAATATACGAATAGGTCTCTTGCCCAACGCTTGTTGAGTCGAAGACCCTCCAGGATCTTGCTGAGATACTCTTCGTGACGTAGATGATAATCGATGCCGGTAATGTCGCCGACAGGAGCGAAAGTCTCGTCGCCGGAGAAAAGCCAAAGGACCTGTCAAGGAGACAAAATGGCTTCAAAATGAGTTGAAGAGACTCGGAGAGGAGGTACACATACCCAGATAGCGCTACTTGCGATCGCTCCAGGCGTCGTATACGTGATCTGAAACATTTTCTGCATCGTGTTAGCCTTCGGCAACTTCGATGAGCCCTCCATGACGCCCTCAGCGCCAGAAGGGCCCCGAATGAGTGCGGCAAAAACCTGTAACGATGTCACATCGGGTAGAAAGAGATATGAGGCAACATACTTTGAGTAGCAGTGGGTGGCGGAACAACTTCTTGAAATCGAGCGTTGCAGACTCATCTTCATGAAGGAAAGGAACATTCCAAAGTTGATAGTCGTTGTCGTCCGCGTTGTAGCCAATCTTGAACTGGAAGTGGAGAATGCGCGAGTCCGGAGTCGCCAGCCTGGACGGGGGAATGTCGTCACCAAGAACGTGTGGGAGAGCGGCTTTGCGCAGACGAGTGCGGGAGTTTGAGCACTGACTATCCATACCATCCGACAGCTGGGCCTGCAAGGTGAGAACATGAAGGAAATGGAAACGATGACGCACCGCCTTTGCGAACCACTCACGGCTCATGAATGGCGCAAGGTCGGTGGGGAGGATGTCGAGCAGCTCCCGCAGCTGCCCCTGGCGAATGTCGTCGTCGGAGCTGAAGCGCAGCTCGGGGTCATAGTCATCGTCGAGGGGAGTCTTGAGGAAAGCCTCCAAATCGGCGTCGTCGAGTCGGAGCCAGAGGCCGCAGATGAGGACAAACTTGCACCCTGTCTGGCGCACGCGGATTTCGCTGGAGACCTCGTCGTCTTGAGCGCGGTGGTTGCGCGCACGGCGACCGCGCTTGCGGGGGTTGTTCGACTGGTTCTCAGCATCTTCGAGGCGACGCTTGAGGTTGGTGACAGCACGATCATGATCGTCGACAGAGGCGCATAAACGGGCCCGCAGCTGTGTGGAATCAGACCAGCCAAAATGAAATGCGGAGGAGCACACCTGTGCGAGCTCATTCCCGCTTTTCCTGGGCGTGCATAGCAAGATGAGCTGCTTTTGCGTAGCCGTGAAGTCCTGGTCTGGATCCGGAGTTTGCTGACGAGAGGAAGATTGAGAATGTGAATGGTTGGACATGGTAAGAGTAACGAACCGTTGCCGAAGGCGCTCAGACTTTATATGTGTCGCTAGCGAACATGGGCGGTGGTTGGAGAGGAGCGGACTGTGGTGGAGCGGTGGAGCAAAGGTCACAACAAGTCACGCATGATGTCATCACTCTTGCCCAAGCTCTTGCCTCAATTCATTCACGCGTCTAAGTTCCCTCCGGCCTGCAAAATGCCTCGCGGGATCCCCGACAACCCACTCACCGACGTAGCACGCGATCTAAGAAGACATCTTGCACTGCGCCGAAAGCTTCAATGGGCGGCCACGCCATGACTGTGTGCTCTACAATCTCGATGTCGATCCCTTGTCTCTTGTGCGGCTGATCGCCATACTGCGTGTAAGTACGGGCGACGGCAGATCATTTGATCTCGCATATGTCCGTCGCTTCAAAAACTCAAAATGGAAGCCGAGAACGGTCTGGAAGGGCTGCCGAGTCGTCGAAGAGTTGGAGAAGTTGGAATTTTTGCCGTTGACCTACATCACACGTGGTGCAGTCCTACCGCGCGTGCGCGGGACAGCGCGCCAGAACTTGTACTTTACGATGGACGCCGCTGACGACGATATGTTCTTAAGACTGAACAATATTGAATAGATATTCATTCGTGATCTTCTTGCATTTTCGAACAATAAATTTGCCTCTAGATCTTGGCTACCCTGTTTGCTTATAACTGCTGATAACTGGCGAAGTACGGATTATCACCGCTGACCACTGCTTACAACTCCGGCCGTCGTGCTGATGACCGTTGATAACTCCCGTCAGCAGTCGCCATCCGTTATAAGTAAATAGACCGTTTTGTGACATAGTCACCGTGCAAAGACAGGGCTGTGATGGATGTGACAGGTGACAATGGCAATGGCAGCTGAGTCGATAGATATGGATCGGTCGGGTGAAGGGGCGGAGAGAGAGGACAAGGGAGAGTGTCGAACGATTGTATCCACCACTCAGATCAGCATCATTCCTTCCATATCGCGTCGGGATTCTGAAGTTGATGCTCCATGCGTCCTCCCATCCGTCCGCCACAAGTCGTACTCTTTACTTTTTCACTCCATAGTCACCGTGCAAAGACAGGGCTGTGATGGATGTGACAGGTGACAATGGCAATGGCAGCTCGATAGATATGGATCGGTCGGGTGAAGGGGCGGAGAGAGAGGACAAGGGAGAGTGTCGAACGATGTATTGTATCCACGACTCAGATCACCATCAGTCCTTCCATATCGCGTCGGGATTCGATGCCATTTGATGCTCCATGCATGCTCCCATCCGTCCGCCACAAGTCGTAGTCTTTACTTTTTCTCTATCTGTCTGACACCATTTTCACTTTATCAATCTATTTCTTTTCGTCCTTTGTCTCTGGTCCTGGCACCCCGGGGCCCGCACTGCATAATTAACTCTTCTACCTGCGAAGAATCATATTCTTGCCACAGTGGCACTGCCAACTCGCAATCCGCCGCGTGATGATCATCAGGGGGATTTACCCAGGGCCGACTTTTTTTGGTTCTCAAACAGTGCCAAGCACATTTCTGAAGAGGCGCAGTATAAGCAGTCAGTATCTCGAATCTGAATCAACCCACTGGCCAAAAAGAAAGAAAAAATGTGACAAACTCCGATATGCCCCAGGGAGGATTCGAACCTCCGTCTCCCACATCAATCCGTCGTGCTCATTTGCTTAAGGGATGTGGGTGATTTACCATTCATCAACCAGGGCTTTATACTCTTCTAACGAACCTGGATATACCTGCAATGGAACCTGCAACAGATTTGCTACATCCAGTGGAATTAAATAATCCTGAATTTTGCTACAAGGGTCCGCCTGATTAGCAAAAGGTTATTCAATTCTAGCACTGTCCAAGTGTATAATACAGACAGCGATGTGCAGCAGGATCGTGAATACCGATGGGACTTTGTAAAAAAAAAATGCTCAGTTTGCCCATGCCTTTGGAAGGATTCGAACCTCCGTCTCCTACACAAATCCGCTTCAACAAAATCTTCAAGGTGTGTGGGTAATTTCCATTAATCAACCAGGGCTTGACACCATTCCAAGCAGCCTGTATACACCGGCACCTGTTTTCAACTGCCAGAAGGCTGTTTCACTGCATGAGTTCCCGAAAAACTCAACGGTACCGGTGCCGACCTCTTCAGATGCAAGTAGTACTCTGTATCTCGAACCTACATCAAACAAACAAAAAAAAAACTACTTGGATATGCCCTGGGGAGGATTCAAACCTCCGTCTCCCACATCAATCCGTACGGCCTCATTTGCTCAAGGGGTGTGGGTGACTTACCATTAATCAACCAGGGCTTTATACCCTCCCAACGAACCTGGATAGACCTGTACATCCTTCGAGCTCCAAGGCTGCAAGTCGGTAGAATCCTGATTTTCTAAATAAGGTTGAGGCTGCCTAGTAAGGTTTTTTGAAAACGATGAAGAAATCCAAGGACTGTCCAAGTTGCATAAACGGACGGATACGGCGTGCAGCAGTATCTCGAACGAACCCGATTTATCAAGCTGTGGAGGAAAAAATCTTTTTATCTTGTGAATGCCCTAAAGAGGATTCGAACCTCCATCTCCCACATCAATCCTCTCCTGAGCGTTAAAGTTTTGTGGGTGACTTCCATAAATCAACGAGGGCTTTCCAAGGCTTTCCACCATTCCAACGAACCTGGACAGACCTGCACATTCTTCCTCGGAAGACCTGGGAAGGATTCGAACCTCCGGCGCCCACACAATCTGCTCACGCAACTGTCTAAGGGGTGCGGGGGCGATTTGCCATCAATCAACCAGGGCTTCATACCCTTCCAATGAACCTGTATACACCGGCACCTGTTTTCAACTGCCAGAAGGCTGTTTCGCTGCATGAGTTAACGAAAATTCAACGGTACCAGTGCCGGCCTCTTCAGATGAAAGCAGTACTGTATCTCGAACCTACATCAAACAAACAAAAAAATCCATTATCCTCTAATATGTATGCCCTGGGGAAGATTCGAACCTCCCACATCAATCCGCTTGGGCTGCTGACGATGTTAAGGGATTTCCATTAATCAACCAGGGCTTTATACCCCTCCAAGGAACCAGGACAGACATGCATATTCTTCCCCGGAGCCTGCAGGACATTTGCAAAATTCGGGGAGCGCAAGACTTCTCTGCAGAGCATAAAAAAATTTGAACATCGCAAGGATCTGTTGAAATACATGCAGTTTCTTTGAATCTCAATCATATTTTTAAATAAATAAAAGGGTCGGACGACTACATATGCCCTGAGAAGGATTCGAACCTCCATCTCCTAGATGAATATTGCTCCCTACCTAAGGGATGTGGGTGATTTACCATTAATCAACCACCCTTCCAACGGACCTGGATAGACTTGCAATTTTTTTCAAGGGAGCCTGCAGCACACCGGTGGAATTAATCCTGAATTTCGCTACATGGGTTAGCAAAAGGGTTCCAATTCAAGGACTGTCCCCAGTGTATAATAACCGTGGAAGGGTTCCAACCTCCGTCGCCCACATCAATCCTTTCTAGCTTCTGGCTTAATGGGTGTAGGTGATTTGCCATTAATCAACCAGGGCTTATACCCCTCCAACGAAACTCGATAGATCTGTACATCCTTCAAGCTTCAAGGCTGCAAGTCGATGGAATCCTGAACTTCCAAATAAAGTCGAGTCCGCTGCCCAGTAGTTTGTCCAAGTGCAGAATAGACAGACAGATAAGCACATACAGCAGTATCTCGAGCGAATCCGATTTATCAAACTGTGAAAAAAAAGGTATTTCGCTCTCCTCGCATGCCCTGAGGAGGATTCGAACCTCCGTCTCCCACATCAATCGGCTCAGCTGTTTCGCAAAGGGCGGTGGGTGATTTCCCATTAATCAAAAGGGGCTTTCTACCCCTTCAGATGAAGCGGGATATACCTGCAACATTTTTGTCAAAGTTGGGCCACACCGAAAGCGACCAGGTTGCTACAAAGGTCCGCCTGCATAGCATAGTCAAAGGGTTTCTGAAAGGAACAAAATGCATCTTCTGCACCCAAAACATGGTTTAGATACGGGCCACAGATATCTTGAATCCGATTCAAACTTTGTAATAAAAGAATCGTTCGACTCGTATATGCCCTGGGGAGGATTCGAACCTCAGTCTCCCACATCAATCCGTCCTAGACTCTCCGCTCAAGGGGTGTGGGCCATTTGCTATTAATCAACCTGAGCTTTATACCCATCCAAGGAGCCTGGATATACCGACACATTTTGTAAGGGAGCCTGTAACACACGGTGGAATTAATCCTGAATTTTGCTATAAGGGTCTGCCTGATCAGCAAAAGGTTTTCCAATTCAAGGACTGTCCAAGTGCATAATACAGGCGGAGATGTGCAGAAGGATCGTGAATACCAATGAGACTTTGTAAAAAAAAAACGGATAATACTCGCGCATGCCCTGAGGAGGATTCAAACCTCCATCTTGCACATCAATATTTATGAAGAAGTTTCAAAGAGGCGTGGGTGATTTCCTTTAATCGACCAGGGCTTCATACCACTCCAGCCAACCTGGAGGTACCTGAACATTTTTCGAGAACTGACTTGGCCAGTGAATAAAATCCTCACATGTGGAATCCAATTCAAGAATTCAAAGAGAATCTATCCTCCTCTCCGAAAACTTGCAATTTGTTTAGTACCAATTTTTTGGGAAAAAGAAGCGGGACCTCTACCCCATGCCCAGGGGAGGATTCGAACCTCCGACTCCCACATCAATCCATCCTAGATTTTTCTCATAAGGCATGTGGGTGATTTGCCATTAATCAACCAGGGCTTTGTCCCATTCCAAGGGTACGGGATATATCTGCACATTTCTTAACACCACCGAATGAAATGTCTTTCTTTTACGTATGAAAATCACACTGCCCATATTATATTCCAGCGGCTGAACGCAACAACACCGTTACTAGATCACCATGCATTTGAAAAAATCGTTTCTTTTTGGGACACAAAGAAGATACCAAAAAAAAAAGGGGAACACATACTAGATGCCCTGAGGAGGATTCGAACCTCCGTCTCCCACATCAACCTGTACAGGAAGTGTTGAAGAGGTGTGGGTGATTTCCATTACAGCTGTTTCCGAAAACCTTGAGACTGATCAGAAAATTTTGGCTACATCAAAATTTGATCCAATGCTAAGCATTACCGTTTTTGGACTCGCCAAGCCGAACTGCCGGCACTCAAGTTTTGAAAAGAAATTCATACAGGCACCTAATCACAGTTCTGAATTGGGCGACTTGAAGCTGGCAGACTCACAGACAGACCCTGTGACTTTCACGCCTGTGAGCTGCTCTATTTGGCAGAACAAAAATTATTGAGGGAAAGTCATATCCAAAAATGGCGGTTGATCCGAACCCAAAGAGGAAATCCTTAGCATTTGATTAAATTCCGTGTGAGCAAAAAAAAAAAAACATCAGTCTCAAGGTTTTCGGAAACAGCTGTAATCAACCAGAGCTTTCGAGCTCTAAAATGGACCCAGATATAGCCACACCTGTTTATGAGCTGCTGAGTGTGTGAGCCAATCAATAAAGCCCAAACAACATCTCCCTATACTTAAATAAATGTGTTTGACCGCGAGAATAATAATTCAACCAGAGGCTTATACCTTTCCAACAAACCTGGATACCGGCACATTTTTCTAAGCCGCTGAGAGCCTCACCACTGAACCACTGCCATTTACACATGAAAGTTCGCCCACACTACCCAGTAAATATGTTCCAATGTTCGAACACAGCAACAGCCCTGCATCTGAAAAGATGATTTTATTTTTGTAGAGAAAATATCAAAAGGAGAAGAAAAAACACCAGCGGAGGACGCTTCCCGTGCCCTGGGGAGGATTCGAACCTCTGTCTCCCACATCAGCTTGGGAGATCCTTTCTATGGGTTGTGGGTGATTTCCATTAATCGACCTGAGCTTCATACCATTCAAATTGAGCCTGGATATACCAGCACATTTTCCAACCCTTTCCACAGAATGAATTCTTTTAATCCACGGTATGTACAAGTGTCGCCTGAATGCGACAGTAAATCGGCGCGGATCTGTCTACATCGCCAGATACACATAACAGGTGTAAACAGTACTGGTATCTCGAACCTAAACTAAATGAAAAAAAAAGTGCAGGGCAATTGCAAATGCCCTGGGGAGAATTCGAACCTCCGTCTACCACATTAATAATGCTCGAGCAACGCCACTTCTGATGGTCTGTGGGTGATTTCCATTAATCAACCAGGGCTTTATACCCTTCCAACGAACCTGGATATACCAGCACATTTTCCTACCCGTTCCACAGAATGAACTCTTTCAATTCTCGGTATGTGCCTGAACGCGACAGCGAATCGGTACGGATCTATTTACATAGCCAGGTGAAAGCAGCACTGGTATCTCGATTCTAAATCCCACTTTCTACTCTTTATAAAATTACGCCTGTCTGAAGCCTTTAAACTCCGCTCGGCCATCGCCGACATATTCTGATCGTCTCCACGTCCGAGTCAAGCGTTGGCACTCACGGAGCCTTTTACGGAGCCTCTCTTCATGATTCATCCTTTGTATGACGTGGCCAGACGTGGCTACGTCCTTTAAAATAACTGCGATGACCACCCCATGTTCTCGCTTTCCAACGCGTCTCCGTTGCTCAACGTTCAAGAGCGCCATTCAAGTATTGGACGTCTAGAGAGCCAGACGGACCCAAGCTGCGGTCGCCAACTGCTATCGGCTTTCCTTCAAGCCGCGGCGGTATTTTTCAAGTCGCCCACCTCTTCAAATCCAACTCCGCGGCCATCCAAACTCGAGTTACATTGAACCCTCGAGTCTCAAGTTCAAGTGCTACAGACGATGTCGAGAGAACTCGATTGAAGGGTTTACGGTCAACTCAAATTCAACCATATGCGCGGCTCCGTTTTATTTCTCGCGTATCCTGGATTTTTAGAGAGCAAAATCTCAAGCTGCGGTCGCCAACTGTTGTCCGCCTGCCTTCAAGCCCCGACAAGTCGCCCGTCTCTTCAATCCAACTCCGTGATTGACATCCAAACTCGGGCTATGCTGAACCCTCAAGTCTCAAGTTCAAGTGCTACAAATGACGTCAAGAGGTCGATTCAAGGGTTCACGATTGACTCAAAATTCAATCATACGCACTGCCTGTATTTTTGTCGCATATCCCAAGCCACATGTCAGATTCTGAGACTCATCCGGTGGGTTTTCTTTTGTTTTTGATGCCGCGCGCTAATTAGTCCACCCACATGCTTTGTGTATTTCTCAGACTGGACTCCGAGCTATTAATAATCTGTGCAACAGTACATCAATCCACGATGCACTGGTAATCCTGGGTTGTGCATATTTTTCCCCCATCCACATAATATAGGCCGAGATCTGCAGCAGGCTCGTGAATACAAATGGGACTTTGTAAAAAAAAGAATATCTTCAACATACGCCCATGCCCTGGGGAGGATTCGAACCTTGGTCTTCCACATCGGTCCGACAATTAAGAGGTGTGGGTGATTTCTATTAATCAACCGGGGATTTCTATCCTTCCAAATGGACCGGTACCCGTGCTGAACACAACAGTAAATCGGTGCGGATCTGTTTACATAGCGTACCCAGATGAAAGCAGTACTGGCGCACATCAACCAAAAAAACAAAAAATTTCACCATCGTCGTATGCCCGTGGAAGGATTTGAACCTCCGTCTCCCACATCAGTCCACCAAGACAATTGAAAGCGCAGTGGGTGATTTCCATTAATCAACCAGGTCTTCATACCCTTCCAACGAACCTGGATATACCAGTGGCACATTTTTTGCAAAGCCCAAAAAGAAAAGTTTCACATAAATCCAATTGACACCGATCAGGTTGCTACAGCTGTCCCCCTGCTGAGGTTCATTGAAATCACCAAAATTCAAGGACTCTCCAAGTACATACAATATACAGACAGATACACGCAGCACCAGTATCTCGAGCGAATCCGATTTATCAAACTGTGGAAAAAAGAACTCATTTATCCCTCCACATGCCCCAGGGAGGATTTGAACCTCCGTCTCCCACATCAATCCATCCTAGCTTCTTCGCTTAATGGGTGTGGGTGATTTGATATTAATCAACCAGGGCTTTACACCATTCCAAGGAGCCTGGATATACCGACACATTCTTCAAGGGAGCCTGCAACAGACGGTGGAATTAATCCTGAATTTTCCACAAGGGTCTGCCTGATCAGCAAAAGGTTTTCAATTCAAGGACTGTCCAACAGAGATGTGCAGCAGGCTCGTGAATACAAATGGGACTTTGTAGAAAAAAAGTGTCCAATGATACGTTTCGGCCCTTGAGGCGGATTCGAACCTCCGTCTCCCGCATTAATCCGCTTGTGCAAGGCATCTCAAGGGGTGTAGGCGACCTCCAATAATCAACCAAGGCTTCATACCCTTCCAACGAACCTGTGTACACCGGCACCTGTTTTTCAACTGCCAGAAGGCTGTTTCACTGCATAAGTTCGCGAAAATTCAACGATACCGATGGGCCGGCCTCTTCAGATGAAAGCAGTACTGTATCTCGAACCTACATCAAACAACAACAAAAAAAAAGTTGACTGACCTTTGATATGCCCTAGGGAGGACTCGAACCTCCGTCTCCCACATTAATAATGCTCAACTAACACCTCCCATGGTCTGGGTGATTTCCATTAATCAACAAGGGCTTTATACCCCTCAAATGGAACCGGATATACCTGCACATTTTTTGGGCACCCGATAGACAGATTTTACATTCGCAGACTGGAAGCGATCAGGTTGCTACTGCATAGCATAGTCAAAGGGCTTTCGGGAAGAATTTCGTCCGCCCAAAACCATAATGCCGATATATACATACATGCAGTAGAATTAATCAAGCTTTGTAAAAAGAGAGATGATCGATGCATGCACTGAGGAGGATTTGAACTTCTGTCTCCCGCATCAATCCGCTTGTACAAACCATATCTCAGAGGGTGTGGGCGATTTCCATTAATCAACCAGGGCTTTATACCTTTCCAACGAACAAGAATATACCAGCACATTTTTTGGGCACCCGATAGACAAGTTTTGTCATTCGCAGACTGGAAGCGATTCGCAGGTTGCTAGCGCATCGAATCGCCAAAAGGGCTTTCTGAAAGGGACAAACTTCAGCAAGAATTTTCGTTCGCCCAAAAGCATAATGCAGATATATACATACATGCAATAGAATCTATCAAGCTTTGTAAAAAGAGAGATGGGGTCATTGCCATATGCCCTGAGGCGGATTCGAACCTCCGTCGCCCACATCAAGTCGCCGAGAGAGTTATTAAAGGGTGTGGGTGATTTCCATTAATCAACCAGGGCTTCACACCCTTCTAACGAACCTGTATACACCTGCACATTTTCGAAGCCCGAAATGAACCTTCAAATGTCCGCCTGTTCAGTAAGGTTCGCTGAAAGCAATAACGAAATTCAACAAGATTGTTATCTGTCCCAAAGCGCATAATACAGACGTGCAACAGGTCTTTGAATCTCAATCAATTTTTAAAAACCAAAAGAAATGAACAGTTACATAGAATGCCCTGAGGAGGACTCGAACCTCCGTCTCCCATGTCAATCCTCTCTGAATACGATCGTTAAGGATGGTGGGTGATTTCCATCAATCAACCAGGGCTTTATACCATTCCAAACGAACCTGGATAGACCTGCACGTTTCGTAACCTCACCACCAAATGAATTTGTCTTTTTTTTACGTGTGAAAATCACAATGCCCATATATTCCAGCGCTTGAACGCAACAACACTGTTGGATCGTCATGCATCTGAAGAAATCGTTTCTGCATGTAGAGAAAAGAGCAAAGAAGAAGAAAAGAAAAACAAGGGCTCCTCCTTTAGTCCCTTGGGAGGATTCGAACCTCCATCTCTCACATCAAATCTGGACGCGTTACTCAAGGGGATGTGGGCAATTTGCCATTAATCAACCAGAGCTTTTGACCCTTCCAAGGGCCCAGGATATACCTGCACATTGTTGGAAGCCGCTAGAAGTGCGAGCCACTCAATAAACCCCAAATTTATTGCTTCTTCCGTATACATGTTTGACCGCGAGAGTCAATTCAACGCGCATACACGTAGCAGTCAGCTTCTTGAATATAAATCAACTTGTAAAATAAAATAAAAATGGGGAGTGAAAAATATTGGCCCTGGAGGTCTTTACATGTAAGAGTGTTTTGATTCAGCCCGCAACAATTCAGCATGAGGATAGCTTCATCTCAATCATCTCTTTTTTAAAAAAAACGCAGTGGCTACCACATGCCCTAAGGAGGATTCGAACCTCCGTCTCCCACATCAATTCGCCGTGAGCGGTGCGGGTGAGTTACCATTAATCAACCAGGACTTTACACCATTCCAAGGAACCAGGATAGACCTGCACATTTCCATCCTCACAACTTCCTTCAAATCAACGGTGAACGCAGCAGTCCAGCGCGGATCTGCCCATATAACTCAAACCTACCTCAAACAAAATAAAGAAAAAGGCAAGACACAATATCCCATATGCCCTAAGGAGGATTGAAGATTCGGATCTCCGTCTCCCACCCGCAAACTACCGCTTTCAATAAAGTGGGTGATCTGCCATTTAATCAACGAGGGCTTTTCACTTTGCAGTGAACCAGCACATTTTCCAACCCGTTCCACAGCATGAATTCCTTGAATCAAGTATAACAGTGCTTAAAGACAACATTGAACCGACGCGGCTCTGTTTACAAGCTACATCGCTAGTGTCTCGAAGCTAAATCCAACTTGTAGAAAAAAAGTGAAAGAAAAAAATGTCGCGGACTTGTCCTGTATGCCCTCGGGAGGATTCGAATCTCCGTCTCCCACATCAATTCAGTCGAGGAATGCACCCAAAACCGGTGTGGATGATTTTAATTAATCAACCAGGGCTTTACACCCTTCCAAGGAGCCTGGATATACCTGCACATTCTTCGAGGGAGCCTGCAACACACAGTGGAATTAATCCTGAATTTTGCTATGAGGGTCCACCTGATCAGCAAAAGGTTTTTCAATTCAAGGATTGTCCAAGTGCATATATAATACAGACAGAGATGTTCAGCAGGCTCGTGAATACAGATGGGACTGTAGAAAAAAACTGTCCAATGATCCGCTACAGCCCTTGAGAAGGATTCGAACCTCCGACTCCCACATCAGTCCACCAAGACACCTTCGAAAGCGCAGTGGGTGATTTACCATTAATTGACCAGGGCTTTATACACTCACAACGAACCGGGATATAATTGCACATTTTTCGAAGCTGCTGAGACCCAAAATTGAACCATAGAATAACATCTCGCGTGTAGAAAGCAAGTTCTCACATGTACAATTCAATTCATAAGGCCCTCCGGGCATCCCTGGTACCTTGATGAAAACCTGCACCAAGACCTATACTAATATCCGAGCTGTATCAATGTGATGATGATATAGTTCACAGAAATAAAGAGAGAAATTTTGAAATGTGTATGCATGAAACACAAGGTTTTCACAACTACAAACAAACCTGAGTCACTACGCTCCGCCGATGAGGATCTATGAAAATATGTTGCGCAATGCGGAGATGAAGCCAATGGTTTATGAGTACCCTCCACGCAAGTATTCAAATAGAAATTGACGAAGGCAGCAAGGACACAGCGTGGGCCTGCTCCACAAAGATTTACTCTGTGTTGGCCATTCATAAGTCCTCGAAGAATTTCACCTTATTACACTAATGAGGGGGAGGCCTTTGAGACTTCAGGCAGTGCCAGGGTGGATAATTGCTGTAAAGAATTTTCAAGATCCCGAAGAAATGAAGATTATACAGCCACGCTCTCCGAGTCTTGTCCAACTGGCACATTGGACCTCGCCACTCAACGCCGGGCTAGAGCATCTTGAATTTTGTCCAGCAGTTCCAAATATGTGATGATTCTGACCAGGTAAAGGAACATTGCCTCAAGTTTGGACACACCAAGCCATTAGAGAGATTCAGGAATAGAAAAGCTGGCCAGAGACAGCGGTCATCCTGCCCAGGTTCGACGCCCAGCCCACCTGAATATAATTCAGGAATTTTTGCAGAGTGGCTTGCAACTTGGCAAGAACGGCGCTGCATTTATTCAGACAGGGTAAAGCCAGAGATTCATTTATATTTAACAGAATCAAGCCCAGAACGAAGTAGTACGGACATTAAGCTCGAAACAAAGGTGGAGAAGAGCATGATGAGAAAGCACATCAAGGCATCACGGGAATCTCCGAGTTCGCGTTCAATTGCCAACTAAGTTGGGGAGCAGAAGAGGTAAGCGTTAAACGGCCCGGTCCAAATTACAATCCACATATAAGAACCCGTATTAGTTCATCCAAGTACTGTATTGTGCGCTTGTGTAATGTATTGCCGAAAATGTCGTTTTTTTGAGGGGAAATTCCCAGGCGGTTCAAAGCTACAGGCCACTGATTCATTTCCGGCAAACAAAACAGTGAGCTTGAGCACTTTATGGTCAAAGTCCAACAGAGGTTCCCACCAATACGCTGGAGTTCCAGCGTCCGAATGGGTTTCTCGCGAGTCTTTTTCAAGTTTCCTTCCTTTTACCCAATTAAAAAAAACAAATGAGCCATGTTGGAAAATCCCACTGGACATTCAACACTAGAATATGCATACATGAATCAGATGTAGTGTATATGAACAATAAGACTCGGGAAAAGAAACGGGAGAGGTATTTACTTGAAACTATCCCGCCTCACGTTTCCCTATGTACACTACATTCGATGAATTATCTTCGTAGACTGGCTGCGCTAAATAAAATCTACACGCATGGAGTCTGAGAACTCAGGACCGCGAGATATTTAGGCCGACCTTTATTATAAGGGGATACCAGTGCGTGCCGTGCCGTACACCATATCCGATGAATTATGTTTGAATTATGTTCCATGTCGCTTTGAAATTTTGTTCAGCAAGGCTGCTAATTTAAAAAGCACGAGGCAAGTATTCTTAATCCTGTCTGTTCCAGGACAAGTGTCGCGCGTTGAGTCCAAGTTCTGCAAATTCATCCAGAACCAGACGACAAATCCACTGGCCAACGCTTGTCCAGCGATAGTAAACTCATTGCCAGTCTGGAACCAATTGCCGAAATTTTTATACTGAACATTTTTCCGCCATTGCTTACGGCCTGGTTATGAGTCTAACACAATAGAAACCCGTCCGCTAAAGGATTGAATAAAATAATAAAAGCGGCTGCCATCCCTTTTGGAAGTGAATGAGAATGGAAATCAAAAGAGGATTCTCTCAAGACCACACAGCCACGACCCAGAACAAACTTACGTGGAGGAGGATCAAGCACTCCACTAATAAATTCAGTATACAATGTGAAATGAAAGTAATCATGTGAGTATTTGAAGTGGTCACTCCGCTGCCCAGCCTGGAGAAAGCTTTAGCAGAATTTGTAGATGCTTGGATTTTTTGATATGGGAATAGGAGCGGACCATTCTTTGAGCGCGAGCCACGCTTAGGAACAACTTGAAGACTCACAAAAAGTGTTAGGAACATAATCTCCAGGCCGGATTCAGACTTGTCTGTTACCTCATAGGTTGGATTGAAGGTCGGGTGATACAAGACCACTGTGAAATACTGGCGGCATTTTCCGAAGCCAGAATCCACTATCTTGCGATGTTTTGGTAGTGCATTAAGGAGAAAGATGAAAATGCGCGCCGAGGCAACATTAGACAAACTAACTTGAAATGGAGTCAATGGTACTAAATTGATTAATGAGACCCCCGACTTTCAAATATCAAGAGTTACCCAATGTACGCAGCTGTGCGGTGAATGTCTGTAGGTTACAGAGTGGTTGTCATGCTCACTCGTGGCTCCAAAGAAAAGTGCTGCGCTTTCTAACATGGAAGAAATAACTCAGCAAGACTCTGACATGAATACGACAAGAAGCACATTATAGGAGGTAGCAGAATCACATCAGAGCCATCACGGGAAATACCAGATCCAGATAGCAACCCGAATTTAACCGTTACATGCCCGGATTGATACGGTAACCACAAGTGGTGCAGGATCACAAATTTCGACTTTTCGATTTCAGACCTAGTAACCTACATCGGTACCAGGAATATTTATTTCAATGAGAATCTATTCATGTCTCCAAATAGATTATCCTGCACCTTTTTTGGAATTCAATCCAAAGCTTTAGAAAAAGGAAGACCTGTTCGACCTACAGATGCTCCGGGGAGGATTCGAACCTCCGTCTCCCATATCATTTTTTTTAGAAAACTCTTTTTCAAGGGGTGTGGGTTATTTCCATTAATCGACCAGGACTCTTTACCATTACAACGAACCTGCATAGACTCAGTCTCCCATAGCCAGATCCTGACAGATATTCGATGAACAGTCCGCACATTTCCAACCCGTTCCACAGCATGGATTCCTTGCATCAGCGATACCAGTGCTTAAAGACGACATTAAATCGGCGCAGATCTGTTTACAGCCTACATCGATAGTGTTTCAAAGCTAAATCCAACTTGTAGAAAAAAAAGAGAGAGAGAAAAGACAGAGTAGCCGAAATCCACTCCTTATGCCCTGGGAAGGATTCGAACCTCCGTCTCCTACATAAGACCTACTTCATTTACATTCTAAGGAAGGTAGGTGATTTCCATTAATCAACCAGGGCTTTCTACCCTTTCAAATGGACCGGTACCTGTGCTGAACACAACAGTAAATCTGTTTACAAGCTATATAGCTACTGTCTCGAAGCTAAATCAAACTTTGTAAAAAAAGGTATTTCATCATCCCACAAGCCCTGAGGAGGATTTGAACCTCCGTCTCCCACATCAATCCATCCTAGATTCTTGGCTTAATGGGTGTGGGTGATTTGCCATTAATCAACCAGGGCTTTACACCGTTCCAACGAACCTGTATACACCGGCACCTGTTTATCAACTGCCAGAAGGCTGTTTCACTGCATGAATTCCTTCGATCAATGTTGAGACTGTTTAAAGCAACAATGAATCGGCCAAAGGGTATTCGCCGTTAAAATTTGCCACACAGAGTTAGAAAAGTGCGTTAAGGCCCTCGAGACCCTACCTATTAGCCGAGCACAGCTACATCCAAAAATCGGGTAATTTGCCGAGCCGAGCCTCCCGACCCGAAACAACCCGATTTTTTTTTTTTTTTCAAGTGTCCAAACGCATTTTCGAAGCATTTGGAAAGTTTGTCAGAGAAGTGAAATAAGGTCCCAGACCCTACCTACTTATGAGGCTGTGTCTCGGCATCTTCCGGTGGATACTTCTTGGAATCGGCGCGGATCTGTCTGCACAGCCAGATGAAAGCAGAGCAGTACTGGTGTCTCGAAGTTAAATCAAACAGTGTGAAAT